GTATGTTTGTTTTAAAATATTTCTATACAATCATTGTTTGGGTATGTTGTATAACCATAATTTATTATTTTTTTTATCTTTTTAAATCATTCACATTCTTATTTTCTATACATTTTTTTATAAAAAGTAAAAAAAAAAATACTTAGATCATTCTAAATAATTCTTAAATGTATTACTATTAATTTTGTAATTGTTATACTATTAAAAGTACATTTTTGGTTTTGAGGCAGGATCAAACGTTACATTAGATTGATTTTTTCAGTTCAATAGTTGATCAATTCAATCATTTCATGAGTTTTTTTTTTCCCCATATTCTCTAATATAATTATCATCTCACTTACACATTGGCCCTATTTGGCAAGAGGTGTTTTTGACTTTTTTTTTGGCCTAAAATTTCAAAAAACAAAATAAACTAAAAATATCTAATAAAATAAAATATCACATCAAATTCATAATCATTTCACTTTTTTTCTACATAGATATCTATCTAACTACAAAAAAATCTAGCCATCTTCCCAAATACAAAAAAATTAACCTACTAAAATAGTCCTAAACTAAAATAGCTTACTCCCTCTTCCCAAAATAACGGTCCCTTTGGGAATTCTAAATTTGTGGTAGTACAATTATTACATTTGAAAGTTGATTTTCCAAAATTATCCTTTTGATTGGTGGTCCTGTTTGTTAGAACTGTAAGAAAGTGCTTATGTTTATGTCTAAACAGCTTATAGCTTATAACTTATGACATAAGCTAATTTCTGACTTATAAATTAAGCATCTCCTGCCCCACTCAAAGAATAAACTGATTTCTGACTTCCAAAAAGTTATAGCTATAAGCTAAACAAACACATTCAATGCTTAAATTAAGCTGAAAGCTAAAATAAGCTGTTTTAAGTTCTGCCAAACAGGCACAGTACATTTTTTGAGAATATCAATGTCATAATTGTACTTTCTATATTGTTTATTAATTTAAAAGAAGGGGTAAAATAGAAATTTTATATTATTTTTGTACTTGATTTTTAAAGAGGGACTAATATTTTGGGAAATGAAAAAATGAAATAAAGGGACTAATATTTTGGGACGGGAGAGAGTACTAAATAACCAACTTCCCAAACGAAGCTGTTATTTAGATCTAAAAAATGAATTTATATATTTTTTTACAAAAAATTACCAATTTATAACCATCGAGAAACAATTTTATTTGTACGTTGTGTTGCATAATTTATTAAGGCTTAGTCAAAAGTGATTATTCAAGACTTAATTCATTATGAATCTTCGGGAAAATATATATATATATATATATTAAACCTGGAGTAATGTTTAAGTTTTAGAAAACATTTATACTTATTGCCGCAATATATGTTGTTCTATATTATATATTTTGTTTAAATTTTATAAAAATATTAATAATTTATTTTTATTAAAATATCTCAATTGGGTGGGTTGAAAGGAGAGAGGAAAAAAAATCAGCGTGGGTTGTGAATGTGAATGTGAATGTGGGTGTGATTGGTAGAAAAGTTATTTAGGGCTTAGTTTGACGTAATACAAAAAATTTAAAAAGTTTAAAAAAGTCACTATATTATTTTAGTCACATTATTCTTATTTAAATCACATCATCTCTCTATCATATCACTCCAAACTCAACTTATATTTTACGTTTTTTTGAAAAAATAAAAAAATACACTTATTTAGATCATTCCAAACAATCCCTTAGTAATTGTGAGACATAGTTAGCGTCCAAATATGTTGTGATCGGAAGGATGAGACTGATAATATTATATTAAGTAATTAAAAATAATAAAAATATAATAATTTGTTATT